ACCCAGCAGAGTTGTGTCGCCTAATTTAAGTCCACGCGCGAAGCAACCACCGCAGATCAGCGCGGCGAATGGCAAGGGCCAAGGTCAGCCTATGTCACCTGTGCTGAATAACACCGGCGTTCCACCGAATCCTAAGCAACACCTCCTGCAAGCGGCTAAGCAGCAACAACAGCAACAACAACAACAACAACAGCAACAACAACCGCAACAACCGTCGACGATAGTGAATCTCCCTCAGAAATTACCAATGAACGTTCATCCACCCAGTGTGCCGACACCGACGCCGAGGATTCATCAACCGGTGTCGCAGCCCACGACGTTGAAAGGAATCAATGGCCAACCGCATCCTCTAAATCCGAAGGCCCATCTGCTGCAAGCTGTAGTCCCACCGATTGTCACTGGGGCCGTGGCTAGTCCACCCACTCAACCTCATCTGATGAATCCTCAACCTGTTGGCGTGAGCTGTTCTAGGCCACCTGCGCCGAAACCAGCGGTAAGTGGAATTTCATTTGTTATGCGGTTGTTTAGCAATAGTATAGTAAGAGAACAGTGATTATTCATACTTTGGTTCCTGTGTTTTAGGTAACGGGTACAATGGAACCACCAAAAGTAGAAGTTTCCATGTCTGGCTGTATTATGGTACCGACCGCCAGCCCTCAGGCACGCGGAGTACCAATAACAACGTACGACGGACCATTGGTAAGCACAGTGTTCTCTGGATATGCAACTTATCCACGTTTGGTATTCTGAATGTTGATATTAAATGAAGTACCTTCATGAACCATTAGATTCATTTTAACAAAACAATAACTAATGAAGTCTTATTTTGTTGTCTCTTACAATTAAATAAACTTGTAGAGTGTTCCAAAGTAACTTAAAGATGTAATCTGTTTAAGAAGTATCTATTCAGGACAATTCTTTGAACTTCCATAATATATAATAGATCGCTTTATAGTTTGTATTACATCCCATGCTTAGTTTACATTCAAAAGAAAGTTAATCTGTTTTGACATGGCAGCAGCAAATTTAATACACTAGAGTGTTGTGTGTAACCACACGAAACACACATTTTCTAAAATATGTGATACACAAACTAACTTTGCTTGGTTTTGGCTAGCATGCGAATGCGGGTGCTGCTCCATCACCAGGGGGACAGTATGGACTTGTTCCCCCACATCGATCCCAGAGTCCTCCATTGCCCCCACCTGCCCATCATCATGCTAATGCTTCTCAGGTACTTACTTATGCTAACTTTATTTCCATTAAAATACACATGATAAGATCATATAACAGAAATCAGTGTTCTCAATCAATTATTATCAATAAGTTTAAATATTCAATATTGAAATTCTCTATAATCGACTCCTTTATTTTCCATTCAACTTAAAATACTACTAATTAAAATCCTTGATTCAGCATATAAGGAGTTAAAGCAACCGTATCTCGAGTCACGTCTTCAAGCCTCTATCATTTCACTACCAAGTGAAATGACAATTATTCCATACTCTGTAATTACAATTATCCATTTCCTTCGCAGGGTGACGTCGTAAACCACTTTGGAAGCCTGACACGAGGAGGAGAACTGCCGCCGCACTACATGCACCAGCAAGTGCTCCAGTATCAGTTTTTGCGTGCTCAACAGGAAGCCTTGACAGCTCCGCGCATAGCGTATCACATTCCAAGAACTAGATCTCCTCATTTACCCTTAGACCCGAAACTGGAGACTGGCATAGAAGATAGTCATAGTCCGCCTTTAGAGCTGAGACGGAGCACGAAGACACCTCAAGACCGTACCACAGATAGTCCACAAGTAGCTCAAGTTTATATGCTGCACGGAGCACCCAGATTACCGCCACCGCCTCCGCAATACAACGCGGGAGGCAATCCGTCTTTAACCGCGCCAGCCGCCGCCAGGGTTGGATTCTACGAACCGCCACCCGCGCATTTGCGTTCCCAGTACCCGATTGCCGCCAGCGAGGCGCCAAGCGACAGAGCCATTACGCCGGACAGGCCTAGGAAACATCAAGTGGTCACGCCGCCCCATGCTTCGCAAGTGCCGCCGCAGGCGGACTCTTTTCAGATGTTACTTCAACGTTATCCGGTCATGTGGCAAGGCCTCCTGGCACTTAAGAACGACCAAGCCGCAGTACAAATGCATTTCGTTTTCGGTAACCCCAACGTAGCGAGGGATAGTCTACCTTGTAACAGCGATGGTTCTACGCCACCGTTGAGAATTGCTCAAAGAATGCGACTGGAACAGACGCAGGTCGAGGGTGTGGCGAGGAAGATGCAAGTACGTATTGAAATGTATCTTATCCATTCGAGTCCCACCGGTTTTTGCAAAAACAAATTTTAAATAGTGCGACCGTTACGTTTCTCTTACTTCTAAGCGGGCAATAATAAAAATAAAAATGAATAATTAGAAGGAAAGGAAATAAATAAGCTGCATCTGATTCTATGAAAGACTGGCACTTTTAGGCAGTGTAACGGAGAAGCGCGATCGCACCGCTTGTGACTCGGTTGTTAATTATTTAATCTTATGAGACATGTTTTGACATTGTATTTTTCATTCCTCTTTTTGTAAAGAAGGTGCGAGATTCTTTTAGAACAGAAGCATTTTTATTCGTTTTATAACTGCATGAGAATTAGTTTAAAAAATTCTAATGATATCTTCAGTCGTTGAGATTTTATTCTGAATAGAGTATATTGAATTGTGTCATTTTCTTTTTCGCAGATGGATAACGAACATTGCATGCTCCTCGCGCTACCATGTGGTCGAGATGAGGTGGATGTGTTGCAACAGAGTAAGAACCTTCAGACTGGATTTATAATGTATTTACAACAGAAGCAGGCCGCTGGAATTGTTAACATTGCTGCACCAGGATCGCAACAGGTATGTAAATGACAAGGAAAACATATATACTGCTTGCTATCCACGGGGTTGATTAGTGCTCGAAATTACATCATCTGTTTCTATTAGTCTAACAGATACCCAAATACTTGTGAACAGTGATGTACATCTCTAGCGATGAAAACAAAAATGATAATCCGATGCACGGATAAGTGATCATCATTTATTTACTTTCCAGCCTGCATACGTAGTCCACATTTTCCCGGCGTGCGATTTCGCGAACGAAAGCTTAGCGCGGATCGCACCAGACTTGCTTCATCGGGTCGCGAAGATCGCCCATTTGCTCATCGTCATCGCCACGGTTTGAGGCCAGCCAGTGGTCTACTGGATTACAATCTACATACATCTCTCGCCTTCACGCACTGTAGGACGCTTCGCATGTGGCATGAAGCCTGGAGTGTCCTTCTGACGGAGCGCAGAGTCGTACAACATTAAATGAAAACGGACAAAAAAATGAGACGAAGATGCAGAACAAAGAAGTGAGGAGAGGGGTTCCGTCGAAGGAAAAGGTTTCTCCTCCGAAGATATCTATATATCAG